GTTGGCGGTGTGCGCACAGGCGGAGCTCCGCCGCCACGTTATTAAAAACAATGTTTAAACGGTGCCTAGTTTTAGAGTTTAGACGAGTTCGGGATCTCACGGAGGCCATTTTCGGGGTAAACGTTTAAAGGGAAGTGTTCCTTTACAGTTTAAAGGGAAGCGTTACAGCAGTCGGGTTGAAGTGGAAATCGCTGTTCTGTGCAGGCGTGAAAATTTTAGTTCTACAGATGGCTGCCTGTGCACATGCCCAAACTGAGAGAGAGAGAAAAACAACAGCAGCACACGCTCCTGCATGTGGACAGCAGGGAGCGATGTGGCTGCGCAGTGATCCGGAGCAAGGAGGTGAGTGTGATCACGATTCTCCAGGTTAAAAAAGACCGCATCGGGGCCGGAGCAATTTAAACTGCTCCCAGCACATGCCGTCTGACCGCACCCAGAGCCCCAAAAGTCTCACGGCTCCATCACTGACCTCTGTCTGTGTCCCCCCCTTCTTTCGTGCAGGTCCAACGTCAACAGCTCGTGCCGTTTGCTCTTTTCCTTTCCTCGGCAGGGGGAATCCTCCTCTACCACCTTCTAAAGGAATAAGAACCAAGGAGAGGAGCGTCCCTCCATCCCTGCCCCGTTTCCAATTGGATTTTTTTTTAAAAGCTCCAGACCTATTAAGTGGCCTGAATCGCAGTCATACGTGAGTCCAATATGGATCAGAGTACCAGAAGAGAGGGGTGGGAGGGGTGTCCCTGGAACCATTTTAAGCCACTGGGAAGGAAAAGACACTGTACGGCTGCGGTCACACGTGCCATTTGGAGCGGAGGGGAAGCTCCCCTATTTCCTCCGGAGGAATTTGAGATCACACATCCCTTTGCGCTGCGGGCTCAGCCCGTCACTGTGTGATCAGACGCCACTGCGTGCGAGTGGGTTTTTTTCTGCCGTTTCCCATGCGCATAAACAAAGAATCACACCTCCGCATTGAGGGTTCTCCATGGAGTATGCAATTATGTGCATACTGCTAAGCGGCGGGGGGGGGAACGGCTTGAGAGGGGGCTTGAGGGGTC